TCTTGCAACTAATAGATTGATGTGCAGATTGCCTTCTCTCTCCCTCGAAGGAGCTATCATTGTTGGAACTAGTTGCAATTAAGTTGAAACCTATTTCAACTTCAAAGTATTGCTGGTTGCCTATCTTTAGATTTTAAACAACTTTGGTTCAGCAATTTTGCAATCGCAGCAGGTTGCAACTTTGTCTTCCGATCAGATCGTCGAAAATCGGCACTTATCGACCAAAAGTTGACCGAAAGTTGCAACTTTGTTGCAACAAATACCAACATTGTTCCAACTTGTTGCAACTTTTACATTGAAAAATGCTACTTGGGATGGGAGCGTTTCAACATGATACATTCAATTTGCTCAATTAAATAGCGTCTTTGCACCATCTCTGTTGGCTGGTGAAAGGAAAGAGGAGAAAGGAAAGAGGAGAAAGAAACAGAGGACTATTGATTCGGTAATATACAATAAGACACTGTATTTGTTAAAGAGTTTACATCTTAGACATTACCGAAAATTTTCATGTCACCGACCACAACCAAAAAGATCAGTTGTGGCAGTTCCTTAATTAATCTTACGCTAGTTTTGAGAAAAAGAAACAATAGTTTTAGTCTTTTTTAAACTTTTTATCATGCCTATAATCCTTCATCGGTGAAACTTAAAGCTGAAAAAACTTAAAAATAGGGACAAGGAAGTTTCAATCTGTAGGTTTAATGCTTTTTTCTTTTGCAAATTTGATGTTTTCGACAAACCTACTACAAAATATGGAACCTGAATTTCCGCTCTTCATCGTGAGTAATGCAAAGAAAAAAACGTTGTATCTGAGGAAAATACACTAAATAAGATCATTTTAAAGAGGGAAAGCAATGAGGTAGAGTAGAGAGTATTTTGTGGGATAAAAGGTTCATTTTCCTGTTTTATGTTAGTAAGCAAGAGGCAGATGAAGAATGGATGGTAGGGAAATGCCACAGTATAAAACCTCTTAAATTTTATCATCAACAAAGCAAAACTTATTTCTCTACAGCCCAATATTTTAGTAGTAATTTATTTAAAAGTCTGGATACACGATTAAATTCCGAACCAATTCTGATCAAAGTAGAACTTTTGATGACTGATGGCCACCATGCAACTAAAACCATCTTGGTGCACCTTGGTCAGTCCTCTTTGATCAAAATTGGACGGGCCATCAAATTTTCATCAGAATGGAAAGCCACCATTCACCATTTCCTGCCACAGGAAACATTTCTGACAAGTTTTCATTTTAAAATTAAGCAAATTAATGATTTTAAGACTGATGACTCCCGACACTTTGATGGTAATTGGTTCCGGAATTTGATCGTGTATTGAGACATTATGGGAGTTCTACCAGCCGGTGGTTCATTCCAAGTTTCTGCAATATTTCCTGATATTTGTGAAAGAACGTAAGGTATTTTAGCAGGGGGAGGATTGAAAGTTGTCGATGTTATGATGTAGTGTTGTTATGTTAAAACTGATTGTGAGCTGACCGAGGGGACTTCATGGGGTGGTATGATCATAAGATCCACTTCATTGGGGAAGATTATTATCAAAAGTATACCAGTAGTTAAACCTGGACCACAGAGATAATTTATTTTTAGATTTGATAAAAGAAATCACTTAAACGAACCAGCGGATGACGACACTCTTTCACTTCAAGGCTACCATACTATTTCTTTAATTGATGACATTTATTCTTGAATATCTACAACTTGAAAAGAAGGCAAAAATTGGAATGTAATGAGGACGTTTATCAAAATTTACAGCCAGGGAATTTAGTTAGAGGCAAACTCAAAACTTGTACTCAGAGCATAAGCATCAAGCAGCCATTACACGAGAAAAAGTAAGGATGTTCAAAGCATGGTGACCCATCGTTTATAGAATTGGGAAAACGAAAACTCGTCAGCAGATGGAGAATAACTATCCACTCACAGAAAAATTGAGTTCATGGAAAACTTGATGAGCGAATAAACAATTCTGTAAGTTCCAAAATTCCATTTTTAAAAAAAGTTGATGACCCTAACATTTCATTGACCACTTCAGGTAAATTTTTACTGAATTATTTGAAGAAGTTGGATGCTTTCTTAAGATAGTTTCACTACGTTACATTATGAGTGAGGACATTTCAACCTTCAAATTAAAAATGTATCACAAGCAAAAAAATAAAAATACTAACAAAATAAAATATAAAATAAAGCTTTGAGAATAACACCTAAATTGGATAAGCAGAATATTCCTGAATCTAAGAGAGAGAGAAAAAAATCAAATTTGCTGACGTGTTTTAAGGGGTGCAACTCATGAACTCACAAGATGGCAGTTCTCTTTTTTTTCCTTGAATTTGGTTGCCAACTTCAGAGCACATGGGGACAGTTGCAGGCATAAATCTTTCTCGTAAAATTAAAATAAAATTTTAAAAATGCATTGATTCTGAAAGAGGAAATAAAAATTGTAAAACAGAAAGCTGAAGGGAAGTAAGGTACCCGTAATTAAACTTCTGACACTTTAACGTTCGCACAATCATACAACCTTGAATAGAATCAACATTTGAGGAATGGCCGACAAAATTGACCTGGTGAAGCTGATGAACCGATGATTTTTAGCTTGATGGATTGATGAATAATACTGAGATAGGCAGAGCTTTATCCGTCGAGGTCATTCAACAAAAAAATTAACAAAAAAAAATGGATTGCATTCTAGGCCAAGTATTGAAGCTGCATTTAGGGAAAGTTAAAACAAATCGCTGAAGCTTCAGTGTTTAAACCTCCAATTGAGAGCACCACTTTTCCCATAAAGTTCTAAAGAAGAATGTAAGAGAGAGTGTTTCTATTTAGGCAGTTTCTGCTGACCCAATCATGACAAACTACTCCACTATTTATTCAATGGAGATTTATGTTAGGCCACTGATCAAGAACGCCTGAAAAAACTTAGGGATCCAAAAGTGCACAAAAAACCTATTTTTCCCGGAAACATTCCTAGTCCTTTCCTCAGCACATACAGTGTTTTCAATCCTGAGATACAGTTACTGATAAAAGCTTAACAGAAATTTATCCTTTCTAACTATTAGAAACTAAAATTGACAAGAAATGAGGAGGCCAGATGATTTAAAAAATTTAAAGGATTGAAAAGATTATTTGATGAAGAGGGTTCTCCTGAATGAAAACAGTAATCTCATTCTGACTTAACGTTAATTTTGTACCATAAGTAACATCTTAGACTAGGAGAGCAATGGATTAAGTCTGTTAAATTTTGTCAGGGGCTTCCTATTTATTAGGAACATTGCCGATATCTTTCAAAATCTTTAATCCTATCAGATGACTTCTGGAGTGTCAAAGAACGTACAAGTCTGATTTAATCTTGGTATCTCATTTTATTCTTTTCGCTTTGAAGTTTAGAGTATGGTATTTTTTCAGTTCCAACTTTAGTTATTTCCTTCCAACAATAAAATAATTACTGGCACCTGACAATTGTCGACTGATACCTCATCTAAACCAAAATGTTGTCATGGTAAAAAAATTTGGCATAATTTTTATTTTGAATTAGTGTATCAAAAACATTTTAGGGAGTAATAAAGACAGTTTTTAAGATTTTAGGATGATATGACCCCTATCAGCAGTGAACTGTAGGAACAGGTATCTCGTCTGCCATGTTTAAAAATCTCCAATCCGATTTTATTGTATCAGAGGAGAAAAAACCAACAGTACTGCTTGAAATTTTCACAGAACATCCTAAAAACCAAAAAGAAAAATCTGGGACTTTTCAAGAAATACCGTTAAAGCTTTTCCTTTTTAGAAAATAAAGTTTGACGTCTGCAACATTGCAAAGTATACGTATTCCTACAGTTTCACTGTCAATATGCTTATTGAAAAAATTTGGGAAACTATTGAGGGACATTTCCACACATCTGCTTGAATTCATTTATGCGAACCCTTCCTCATCAATGAATATAAGTGCCAATTGACTGACCATTGGATTTTGACGATTTGAGAACTGAGTGACCCCAAAAAGTTGAGGGCACAATGATTGACCCAATTTTCGAACAGAGAATAACAGTCATGACAAGAACTAATTGAAAGACTAAACATTACAAAACTTATTAAGAACTTAAATGGGTATGGACTTGCAAAAAAGAGGGGGGGGGGGGCTTTTTTGTAAAGCCCGATTTAGAGTTTGCGTTTCTAGAATAATCATTAATTAACTTGGAAGCTACTCATTTTTTTGTATCTTCTTCTGCAGTTCAGACAAATCAACACAAAGTAGTTATCTTACTATCAAAAAAAAATTTAGCGTATAACGCTGATCGTAAACTATTACTAACATACTTTAATAAAGCTGAAAAAAATATTTTCCTTTGAACTTCCATGATTCTGAAAGAACTACGCCTATTCAGTCCGATACAAGACTCAAATTTTGTCATTATTGGCACTTGATATTGGTGATTTGATAATACTTACTGATCACAAAATCAAACCCAACTAGTGGGCGAATAACAAATTATTAACAAACTTCAACAAGCTATGCACTTTCATAATATTTTTCCTGCACAGTTAGGCTTTCGAAATTGGATTTTTCGAATTTTTCAGCGATATGCTTGAAAACAAAATATTGAAACACCTGATCTAAAAAATACCAGCGCAGCAATGAAAAACGGCAGGAGAGCAGTAGGAAAGATGAGCAGTGAATCTTCAACTGTGGTTTTAAATTCATCAGTTAAAACAGAACAATCTTTTCGGTTTTTAAATAAATTTAATGTATTCATTATGTTATCTCCAATAAACTATTAGCTACACGATCTTCCTTTATCTGTTTTAGTCAATTTGATGAATAAAATACACCCAGCTTTAGATTGAGTTACTGAGCAGTCGTTAAAAATAAGGCTCCTTCCTTTCTTTCTCTCTTTCTTCCCCCCCCCCCCCNAGATATAGCTTCTTCACTTTTAGCAACTGTTCCAACCAAGTTCATGGCTTTTCACCAAATTCAAATTTTGGAGAAAGACTGCATCATTTTCCAATGAGATAAATTACTTCACAGCTACTGCTCTCCTGAGAAGAAGATAGATCCTGATGAAAAATTTCAAACCCAAAGAAACATTAATGAGATATGGATTAGTAATTTTTAAACTAAGCAAGCACACACCAAATACTAAAACACATTACTAAAATAGAGTTTGCAATTTTAATTTTTGGCGGAAAACATTTCCACTGCATCCGAATATGCTCTCAATTTTTCAATTCCAAAGAGTTTCTTTCAAAACTTAAAATTGAAACTGTGACTATCCAAAATCGGAATTCAATTTGATTAAAAAAATTGTGGTGCAACATTCCACATCCAGATAATTTCTTCTTCACTTGAGGTTTTTGAAAGAAACTTTTTGGAGATGAACAACCAGAATACATAAACCTACATGCCTTTCAGTGTAATAGATCTGTCTTCTGGCAAAAATTGAATGCAGAACTATATTTCAGAAAAATGAAATATTGAATTAATGTTTGTAATGCTTTTATCTCTTTTCACGCCCGCAGACAGTGCACTTAAAAATTATTGCCAAAAGATTAAGTTTAATGAGGGACTGCACATGTGTCTAAATTATTCACAAATGATTTAATTGATAGCTTCTGCTAAATGTAGATGTTTGATGACTCAAATTAAAGAAATGATCCGAAAGATAAAAATCAAACCATCAAATCTTCCTGAAATATGACTGATTAGAGATAAAAATCAATGAATGAAACACCTGCAAAATTCTAAAATAATTGGGACACAGTTACTGAGAAATGAACACACTTTATGAAGTTAAAATAAAAAACAATTTCCTTCTGGCCTAAAATTTTTATCGCCTCTGTATGAATTATCACCAAGCGTTCATGCTTTCGATTCTGATTCAATGACTTAAAAACAGACTTACTTTAACGATCTAAACCAAAAAATAAATTAAAAACTGTCTAAAAATGATTAATGAAAAAGCAACGATGGTTAATCAAAAGCATTCTAATTATGTCCTCTCAAGATTAGGTTCACCGAGTTATCGAATTCAAAAAGACGGAATGAAGTTCAAAAGGAACAGCGATAATGCAAGACAGATGATTGGAAATTAATAGATTTCCTTTTCTCAACAGTTGAGGGCAGAAATACCAAATGCACTCAAAATAAATTGATCCGAGAATCTTTAAAACAATATTCTACGATCTGATAAAAAACAAATGATTGACTGCAATTTACTATTAGGCAACTATTTTTCACAACAAAAAAGAGTAACAACGATGATTAAAAATTAAAATGATTAAATTAAAATCTTGGGAGATTGACTTTTTATTTAAAACTTTAGAATTGGGCCTTATTCCACATATTGCCCTGGTGGAACTTTGACCATTAAATCACCAAAATAGAAAGCTCAACGATATGATTATTTTAAAAACTGGGGCCTGAAAAATATTTAAAATTTTCCACCAATTTTGGACAATTGCTGAAAAATTCTGCGACCGATCAACACAAACAATAAAGTATAATTCCTTGCCTTCTTATACGTACTTACATTGTTGTTGCACAAAAATAGATAGGAAATTGACCCTGAACAGAAGAGGGGGAACAAACAGATCAGGTTTTCTTTCACAACAGGAATTTCATTCTCAAAATTCAAATTAGAAAGTTTATGCATGTTTTTGTCCATTTTTGGTAGGAAATCACTATCATGAAAATAAATACAAATTTAAAAAAAAAAGACTCAACTTCAGTAAATTAATAACTTGAGAATAATTGATGCAGAATTATTAAAATGCTCTGGAAATTATCACTTGTTTGGAGGGATGTCTTTTTCTTTTAACACAAGTGTAATACCTAGATACAACACTTGACGCCTCTAAATCCTAAACCTGAAAAATCTACATTATGTCAGTTCAGAGTTTTTGGCTAAAGTTAAGTTCTTGTGAGGGAAACAAACAAATTTACGTAACAATATCTTTGAATTTACTTCATGATCGAAAAAACGCACATATGCTTTTTGAAAAGTTATTTTCATTTTCATTTTCAATCGAATGAAAAACAATAGACTGTGAAACGACAACTGGAAGAATTATGATGGATTTTATTAGTTACGGAACTAAGGCTGTACGTCAAAACCGGAGTTAACTTTTAATTTTTAAGGAAAAGCTCCTCTTACAAAAACAGCATATCTCTTTGAGAGAAATTTTACTAGCATAAGTTTTTTCCACTATATAGAGAATTTCAGTTTCAAACTGGATTCTAGCAAACACTGGCAAAAAAAAAAAAAAATAATAACTGTATGAAAATAGATATCCTAAAATGGAAGAACCCAAACATGCAGATTTTGCTGAGGCCTGCGGAAAGACAATGACAGCCAAAAGAATGCTCCAACTTACACACTCTACCTTGCTATGTGATTCCACACGAGTCTCAAGAACACAATACCTTCTCCTCGGATTTTGAGTTGTGGTCAGCAGCAAAGAAATTTAATCCAGATAAGTCCTGACATGATCTATGAATTTTGAGGTTAACTCGAGATGCCTCTACTTGGTTTAAAATAATTTTCTGACTATGGTACCTTTTGCAGGTTTAGTTTCATGCAGTCATGTTAACATAACTATTTATCATCAATAACACAGTGATCTTTCGGCAACTTATCATCATTCAAAATCAAGTCAATCGTAACGAACAAGCAAGGAAGTTACATTGCAACCTATCAAACTGCATTGAATCTATGGAAATGTAAACTGATTTTTTTCTCTCGTTGATGAGAAATTTTGGAGTTCAATTTTTATGTTAGCAGATTTCTCTAAATTTATATAAATAAAAAAAGATGGCAAATTTTCAGCAAGCGCATTTCTCAGTTCTCAATGCAAAGAATAAAATTAATTAGACCCTGACAGATAATTAGTGGATACTTTGCTTGAAACACAAGTCATCTGAAAAGGAAGTCGCAATAACTTAATTCACATCCTGTCATTCAAACTCAAATGCGTTCGTGCTTGATTTGAAAACTGCTTAGGAACTACCACCCTGAAACAAGCCAGTATTTTATCCTAAACGTCCTGAGAATGATGCTCAAACAATAATAATAATTGGAAAAAGAAAACGATAATTCGAAGGGATCAAAGTTAATCTGGAGATGAGAGCAGCGATGATTGGATACAGTGACCTACGGATTTGAAGAGGGAGTGGATTGAACTCACGGTGACGTAAAGAACTACAGGAATGATATCAAGATTTAAACGGAGTTTGTCATACAGAGGAGCAGTTATTCGGCTTTGGCTGGCACAACTGATGCTGCGTTGACTAGCTCGGAGAAGGATTGCTCTACGCATTGCTTGAGTTCAGCATAGGATACAACTAAAATACTTTGTTCATCACGGGACATTAAACATATCTGAAACAGAGAATAAGATTCTGAAATTTGCAGAAGCAGGTAAAGAGAGAGGAATGGAGGTTTTACATGCGGAGGGGCTTTTCAGTTAACCGTCATTTTGGCGAAAAATTTCGCTAATATTTCACTGATTTTTTCTAAAATAAATCCCTGAGTCAAATTAAGCTCTTAGAGTTGGATCCTGATCAAGGGGAAACCCTGTTCTGCGAAAAAGGGGTCAAAAGGGCCATGGCAAATGGCCAAAGGAGGGCCTGTTAAATCTGTTTCAAGAACTCCATGCATATCAAAACTGTGTACATAAACTTGAAGGAATTGAGGATTCGATTATTAGACTGAAAAATGTTAGAAGATTACACATTTTTGTGAGATGAATTCTTTTTACTAAGTTTTGTTACAACATTGCTTGACTCTTGAAGGACGTCACTTACATACCTGTAGAAATCTATTTTAGTTCGAGAGAAAAGTGCTGATCCTCTTTTTGGCCACTTTCATACTTCATGTTTTTTTATTTATTTTTTTCAGCCTAACAGTCAGTTTTCACAAAGATGATTGCAGTGAAAAAGCATACTGAATTTTCATACATTCTTCTTCAGAAAAAATTCTGTAAGGAGAGCATTTACAGTGTCATGGGTAAATTAATGATGAGTACAATAGAATTTCTTTGACCCAACAAGGAAATTATACTTTTTTTAAAATAACCAGGGGAAAAACGCGCTTATTGAAAGAAAGACTTAACGCCTCGGACGCATTGATCTGGACTTTAAATATGAATTAAACTGACAGTATTTACCCTTTCTTGAGTTCCAGCATCGAGCTTGTTTAAGCAGTGGACAATGTGAGCCATGTCCAGCCACGGTCTTCCGTCTTCCGTGACCTGGTGGAATAGATAGTCTCGCAACAACTTGACCATGTATCTATCACCTGTTTCGGACCATGCTGGGTCCATGTTCAGTCTGAAATAAATCATTGACAATTTAAAATGAAAATGAATGATAGGGTGGCGTCATCCCCACCATCCAATCATCATTGCCTGTTGTTACAGAACACAACTATAAAAATGCTGCACTGTCTCTAGGCTTCAGGGTTCCTACTTTATTTTAACTTTCGGATTCCCTCTGTAATAATATGACGTAAAATAAGCTCATCCAAAAATGAATGAATTTGAATTTTTACTTCCCACCTTCGCAACGCAGTAGGATCTTAAAAATCGTCCACAGGAATGACTGGTTAACCTGAGTGAATTTGTCGCGCTTTATACAAAAACATGAAATCAGGACAGCAAGAATTGAGGGAAAACACAAATGATAAACTTACTCTGGTCTTTCATTGATGGTTGATAACTTCACAAGGAGGCGGAACAGTCTTCCATTCTCGATCTCCTTGGCTAGCTCATTTTCAAGATAATCACAATGGATTTGGGTGGCATCCAACTGGGAGTAGAACCGAGCTCCGATCATGGGCATCAGATCAACCACAGTTCGCCTTTGCGATGATAATAAATACCTTCACAGAAAAAATAAACATATATTTTGTTTTTTACTTTGCAAACAAAGTGTTGAATAAAAATATTTTCATAAACTTGGACCAAGAATGAGGACCTGAGGTTGAAGATGTACCGTACGGGTTTATTACTGACTTCTGATAGAAAATAACTACTCCTGATCAGAACAACTTTTCATACGATGAATTGCCTCTCTGGTGTCGCTATATTGCAGTTGACTCCTCTAATAAATTTGTGGGTTTAAATCTAAAATTGAGAGCTCAGTAGGACATGCAACACATAGTCAAGATCACGGTCAGGACAAGAGTGGAAAAGAGGACACCGCACTGGTTTTTCTTTCAGTTAATTATACGAGTTTGAGTCTCTTAATTTCGGATTTCAATCTTTCTCCTTCTTCTTTTTCTTTTACGCGTCCATCTCATTCAGAAAGCACTTAAAAATTACCTTGAACGAATCATTTGCACCCCATGAGGTACTTCATTCCCTCAGTTTTTTTCCAGCAAATGCTCCAAAAATTGTAAAAATGCATATTCACTCACGTAACAAGATGTCTTAAATCAGCAGAGTATGAGCGGGCCATCAAATCTAAAGAAGTCTGTAAGTTTTCGGCCTGCACGGCAAATAGAGACTTGTGCACCAAAGCCAAAATCAACTTGCCAAGTTGTGTCAAATCTTCTTGCTAAAAATTCAAATCATACAGTTAAGATAAGTCTACAAGATTAAACGACAAATGCTATTTGGTTTTCAATTCTAAAAGATTGATGGGAGTGAGCAACACTGTAAGAAGAGGGTATGCACAAATGCTAACTTGTACCTAGCTTTTTGTAAAAGGCCTCTTGTACTTTTTTGATAAATAATAGAAAAACGCTAGGTTAGTTGACTACGATTAATAATTTTTGAATATTTTATGAATTAGGAATTAACAAAGTTAACTCGTGTGATCGCTCCAAAACAATAAAGCAACTTATTTTCTATTCTACAAAAAAATATTTATCACTAAAATAGAATCGCATTCTACAATTTTATTCAATACATATGATCGAATGATTCTGTGATCAAAATTCCCTAAGTTAATTGTGTGTAATTTGCGTCACCATTAATATAATTAACAGGTTTGCCTCTTCAGTGGTTTAAACCTGGTATTTTTAAGCGCTTGATGGTCTACCGAGTAGTTTTAACCTGGCATTTTTAAGCATTTGATAGCCTCTTGAGTCTAATCAGAGGCATTTCATTTTATTAGAACCCATCATATAAAAAGTCATTTTAATAAGTTTCACCATAAAAATTCACTTCATAAGATTTCATCGTGAATGTTAAGATTTCATCGTGAAATTTCTTTCTATGATATTTCATAAAATTTGAAATCTCTGATTAAGATATGAGAGAAAATCTGCTGAATACTTACTTGCAGATGTGGTATTAAAGCTAGAGGGTTGGAGGCATTTGGGTCGAAAGAGAGGACATCCGTAATCGCACAAAAAGATAAGCGTATCCTAGAGCGACCATTCAAGATAACTTTGGTGGCGTCCAGTGTCCTAAATGCAAGGCCTGCTGAGTGGATGACCCGCAGTGCTCCGGTCAATTGTATCACATAGTTCCAAATTGTGCTCTCAGGAATCATACTGAAAAACAACAAGCGAAAAAGGTGTTAAATAAAATTTGAGCATGATTTTTTTGTTGCATCAAATAACTGATGACGTTTTTTTAGACTTTTGGTCCTTACCGAAGACCCCGAACAACAACTTAAATTCAAGAAAAAATTTTTTTAAATGTTCATAACCACTTCTGACCGTCATAACTCACTGGATCACATTATAATCATGATAAATTTAGAGAATATCGCCTTCTAAAGTTGAGTTCTCTTTGAATTTAGCACTTTTTGTATGGTGGTCTGCAGTTCTTCTTCCCTATAGACAGTCACATATTACTCAGTGTAAAAAAGCACAGATACAGTAAAAAACAGGAAACGATACGGGATTATATTCAGTTAATACAAAGAAAGAGGGACAGAACATGCTGAATGGACGGGTATTTACCTCTGTTGCTGACGCAAAAGAGCATTTTTCATGTGGCTGTAGGGCCTAGGTTGGTGCGAATTGGACGAAAATAAATCATTAAACCCGTTCATGGGTTCAGCTTGAGAGAAGTAGCGAGTTTGGAAAGTCTCCGAGTCAGGGTGGTAGTCGTAAACGAACAAAATCGCTGAAATTATAACAGTAGACTCTGATTAAAATACTCGCTTACACTGGCAAAGATTTAAGTCTCCTGAAAATATTTAAGGTAGAAACTTAAAAGACACCTGAGTTTCCTGTAAAAAGATACTGCAAATAGTTTTCTGCCTAGTTTAAGTGGGATTTTAAACATGGCTCAAGAAGTTTTTCCAGCCTGAAAATTCAAAATTTGCCCAGAAATTGGATGAAATGCCTAAAAATCTGTCTTAAATCTGTGAAATCTTGTCATAATTCTTCGAATTTAAAAGAAAAAAGGAGAAAAAAAAAGGATTTCTAAGTCTTTCACACCTTTTAAAACAAGACCTGCAATTCAAGATACTATATTCTCTCATTTCATGCATTTCTTTTTTTGGTTCCAAAAAAATTTTGTATCAAAGATGCTGAAAAAAACCCCTGCTTTGGTGCAAGCCTGTTGACAAAAAATTATCGAGTCCACGCCGAATAAGTTTACACACTTTTGGACTGCGGCAGAAGATCCACCATCTTGCTTCTTGCATTTACTTTGCATGTGAAAACTTACATCGGACAATCTTCTGTCGTAGTTTAGTGCGTCAACTTATATAGCGCAGCCTGCACAGGGATGAAATTAAAGTCTTCACTATGTAAACTGTCACAATTAGATTTTAGCATTCAAGGTGAATTACCAGAACTTGCAAAAGCAAATTTTGCCTCCGGTCTTGCACACAATAATTAGATAAGAAGAAAGGTGTTTTTGCAATGCATATTTGAATGGATACATACTTCATTAAAAGACTGTCACTGTTATTCACCAGCTGAATTTTACAAAATTACCCAGATAAAATCACATTCACATGGAGGGTAATTTGAATAGGTTTCCTTCAACTGTACAAAATTTGAAATTCTATCAGACCACAATTCCAATCATTTTCTGTCCAAAGATTTGATAGGTTTATGCTTACAATGATCTCCAAACGCTTTTGTCGTAAACACCTCCTTGAGCTGAACAATATTGGAATGTGATAGTTTCTTCCACATATCAACAAGAATTGTACATTTTGTGCTTGGCAAACGATAATCTGCAAAAAAAGAAAACACAAAGTTTCATCAATCAAACGGCAGGTATAAAAACAATTTTACATGCGCTTTGCAATATTAATACAGGGAGAAAAAATGTCCAATATGTTCTAGGGGAGGATTCCATTGAGTAAAAGAAATTACACTGTAGCAGAGTTAAGGGCTTTTTTTTTATCGCGGATCAGGGTGGATTGCAGTGGAACGCGCTGGATCGGAATCCTGAGCGATCTGGACCGATCCAAGTGTTCCAAGTGATAAAAAAATCCAAACTTGGAATCTGGTTCGATTTGTTATTGTTTTGATTTTTTGGGGACGGCAACTTCCTCGCATTAGGTTAGGATCACAGTGGATCGCGAGCTCGCCCCACCTCGGAAGAGCGATCCAGCATTCCACTCTGATCCACCTGGAACGCTTGGATCACGCCGAGGAACGGAATAAAAAAATACCGATGTTCCTCGCGATCCACTGTGATCCGCATACAGAAAAAAGCCCTTTAAAAGTTTCCAGCTCGCTCTGGCTTGCAATGAAGTTTTGGATGGTTTTTGTGATCTCGTTTTAGCACACTCCTCCATCTACACTGCAGCCTCGTTTTAAAATACATACGCATCTTCATTTGATACAAGTTACCATAGCTGCAGCCTCCTTTCAAAATAAATGTACATTATACATCTTCACTTGACACAAGGTAAGTCATTTTCCAAAATTACCAAAGTACATAGATCACATTTGCGTAAATATGTTCAATCATAAATTAACTTACCATGAATCCTCCTTAAGCAGTACCTAATTCCTGTTTTGATGTGGGTCGCTTTGTAGGAGGTTGCTTGATAACCTAACATTGATTGTTTGTGGAGGGGACGAGGAGGTTCTAGCGGTACCAATTCGTGATAGTTATCAACCTCAGATGGCAGATCTAGAAAAACAAACAAGTTTGTCATCTGACTGGTAGAAACTTGGGATCAAACAATACACAGTTATAAAATGAAGAATAGAGAAAATCTACTAAACTTACTCTTACACTTCACTTGTTTAAGAGCCACCTATTTAGACAGCTGTCACAAAAATCCGTTAAATCCAATTAACGAAGCCTTATTTCTTTAGCAAAAATCTGAGCAGAATTTTGTTTGAAATTTTAGGAAAGCGTTTTAATAATCTAGAGGAAACACACAGAAAGTTCTAGGCACATTGCTGCTTAGTTTTTGGGTAAAATCTTTTAACAAGGAGAAAACCAAGCAACATGAATTGCAGTTAGACTGTCCTGGCAGTCAAATTAATTTGCTGGTTATTTAAGAACAGTGGATAAAAACGAGCAAATCAACAGAGAATTACGGATCTCTTCCACTGTTGCAAATCTGTAGACTTCCTGTTGTAAATAATTTTTAAACGGAAAAATACTCAAAGTCATTTCTTGGAAATTTCCCTGATTTTTTTATGGCTGTGTGAAGATCCTGTGAAAATTTTGAGTGATAGTATTGGTTCATTTTTCTTCGATAAAATATCATGGGACTAGAAATTTCGAAACAAGATACGCATTACTGCAGCTGTGCTGTCAAAATATACAATCAATCCTTGTTTCATGCACATTTTTAGTTCACGGATGAGACCAAGCCAAAATAAAAAATCTCTTCTGTTGAAGGAAAATTTTTCAAATCTGTTAATTTGTAGTTTTGAAACTAATTTCGTTTCATGCTACACGTGAATAATTTAAATCATTGAATTTCCCCAAGAGTTTAAACTCATCAAATTACAAACTGTGGATCTTCCTCCGTTTAAGCGAAAAAAAACTTCATTGATAAGGATACTTGACACATGCAATAATGCTGAAAAAGTCAATTATTTGGATTTTTATTTCTCAAATGGAGAATTTGCATGTAAATTTTTCATTGCTTTATCTGAAAGTGCTTGAAGAGCTGATTTCACGGTGTTTTTTATAATTTTTTTCTGATATGGGAAATAGTATAAAAATAGATTTAAAAGTGAGCCTAGTGACGTAATCTGGTGGCATTTCCCATTTAAACAAATGTATTTTAGCAGATTAGGTTATTTTTTCATATTTCCTCCAATAATTGTTCGATTTATGAACCAAGGGTATCCGCGGGTCCAGCTCATTTGGTGGCATCCACTTTGACACGGAATTTATCAAATTTCAGACACCTGCATATTCTCCATTGATGCTATTCCAATTAAAACGGAATTATCCTTCCAGTACCAGGCACATTTTCAGCCTACTCAATTGTCTACCTCCTTCTTCATCTCTTTAACCCTCCATGGTATTGATTAATTTTGGGTCAATGTATTCTAAGGGGCACAATGCTATGCTGCAACTTTCGTGAAAACAGAGTTCCAAATTTACTCCTTAAAATTTCAAAATTTTGGTGATCATTTGTTAGAAGAAAATCATGCTGTACAGAAATGGTTCATTTTAAAAAACAAAAAAGTGCATTGTTACGAGAAGTAACATTATGCCATTGGGGGTCAAGTGTCAATTGACTGTTGGATGATTACCAAAGCAGTATCCAAATGTCCTTTTAAGAAAAAGGTAATGACTGAAAATAGCACAAACCGGGGAACTGTTCAGGATCAGCTTGTGCTAGGACGAGTGAATTCTTGTACTGAATTTCCAGGCGAAGACTATTATTAACAAAGTAAGAGGCCGCAGGATCCGTTGGAGGGGGATTGTTCTTATTGCGCAAGTGTGACGGTGTTCCTGGATACACCGTAACTCCACTCGCGTTTGAGCTTGTCGACACTTCATCCACAACAGCGCTCGGAGGTTCTTCACTCGGCACTGTCTGCGGATAGAAATACGTTGTACCTCCAACATTTTCCTGTGAAAAACAAATTATCACCTCATTGAGTCAACATTTCAAACAGTAAAATATGAGGGACAGGTAGAATTAGTATGATTTTAAAAAGTTTGTAAAGCAGTTGACAGCCAAAGTGCGAAACGACGTACCTCCGTTTGCCATGATGTAGACTTCCTGTCATACTTTAATTTTTCTTTGGAGAACTACCAGATGTAATTTAGCGGAAACTTCCTTAATTTTTTGTTCTCTGTTCGCGGAATATTCTGTGAACATTCCAGGTTGTAAAGTTGGCTTGTATTTCTTCAAAAAAAATGAAATGGTAGTAGAAATTTTGAGACATTGGCAACAGAGTTACATGGTTTTACACTTTGGCTATCGAGTCATCAGGCACAGAAGAAGCCTGTTAAAAAAGTGCCCCCTTTTTGGGAACTCAAGGATTTATTTCAAATGCGTCCTATAGAAACTCTTTTGATGAGACAATCCTCCGATGGAGGTCTAAGCTTGAGTTCAATGGGATGGAGTTCAATTGAGGATGGTAGAATAGTGCTGAGTCTACACTATTCTGCAGAAAATCAGGGCAATAAATTCCAAGATAGAAGGGTGAAAAATATTAGGGTATTAGGGTAAAAAATATGAGCTCCATTCAATTTCAGAGCAAGACTTATTAAATACTTAAATTTAGACCGTCTCTCATTTGCTTACAATGCAGCTTTGATACCTGTGCATCTTTCTGTCAAATTTTGCGACTCAAATTTGATTTTTACGGGTAAAATTAATTAAAAGCCAGGAGCAAAAAATATTACTTGATATGTTTGAAGGTTCTTTTCAAAAGCAGGAGCTTGTGTAACAAGCGAGGTAGGAGAAGGAGTCGAAGCTTGGCGATGCGTCGGTGAGACAGAATTGGAATACGTTGAACTTAAATTCGGCCGTGGAACGAACTCTGCAGACTGGACGCCCATCTGTGATAGCAAAAAGCACAAGTTGTAAATAAAAATATACATTTAATTAACAATGGCAAAAATTCCTCTCTCGAAAGTATAAAATCCAAAGATTTGGCCTCAAGAGCACTAAATGAAAGTTGGTACTGACATTCATTGTAGACCTGAAGAATTCTAGAGCTATGGTTCATGTCAATTAGCAGACATCTGACAATGCGTGACTAGACTGGCTTGAATGAGAAGCAAACATCAAATGATTCCTCTTCAAAATCTTACTTACAGAACGATTCAAAAGACGGGAGGTTTGGAAATCAACCCTCGAACAAAATATTGACAAGTATTTTCAACACAGATCAAGTGGAAATCAGATCATACAAATGATGTCATTAATATTCATGCCATTTAACCATTGTTAATTATAAAAACCTACATCTTGTTAAGGAGTTAATTTTCAGACTTCCCATTGTGTATTTCGTTTTCCGCGTGAAATTTTGAATAAGAAACGTATTGCACAGCGGCATAACTCACACCTTGTCTAGTGATCCAATGCACTCTTCAAACCATTGTTTTATAGGTCAGTTTCCATTTTATTTGAAGCGCAGTTCTTGATTATGATCATCAACTGATTCAATCACAGTAGAGATTTTCTACAAAAAAAGTTACTGGTGGTGTTGCAAAATTCTATGATATTTTCATCAATGCTCCAAGATGTTACCTCCAAAAAATGTTTGGCAAAATATATGTTAATGCTGCTCCCTGCGATAAAATAAGTTGGTTTTGCAAAATCCATAGAGGCAAGAAAAGGAACAACTATAAAAATGTGATTCATTTCTAAAGAGGAGTCAGCAAGGAAATCACATACAAATATGGAAAATTCGATTGATGATCGTTTTAAGACACCTGTAGCCACAAATGACACTCAAGGTGAAACTAAGATGAGTGTTGAGGAGGAGGTTACCTTGCGCAACGAGCTAGAGAGCTGGTCAACACCATTGATTGGGTTTATCCTTTTGGAGACAGGAGAGGTTACGGTGGTCAATTGAGGGACTCTCTCAGGCTGTCTCTGTTTCTGCAAAGTAAATAAGAGAAAATGGGTTGACTTCAGGAAACAAAATCGTCAGGCGAGAGATAAGACAGAAAAAAAAATTATTTGAGCTTTCATTTTGCTTAAAAATGTGTTCAATCTAAAGTTCTGAAGAAAGCCAATTGACTAACTAAAAGAAAAAGGACTCAATATACAAGAAAATGAGAGCTTCTAAGTAAAAAATTCCTTGTAGAAAAAAACCAAGCCTGAATTGTATATTAAAATTTATTTCCGTTTTTATTTTTCTATCTCTAGAACCCAATTGAGTATTCAATGAGTTGACTCAGGATATTGAGCAAATGACATCAAAAGTAGACTTAACTGTGGGCTGATTATTGAGATTGATAGACAAAGCAATAGAGTGGGAAGAGAAAGGGAAAACTGGGCAATTCTATTGGCAGAAGTGGGTGGTTGCAATGCTTGATTTAAAAATTAACAGCAACCCTTAAGAGACCCTATAATTATTTCATCATTTTCTCCTTCAATCCATAAAGACTACTCGTTACAACCAATAGAATGGCTTCATTTATCCTTTGTCTATCAATGTTACTTGTTAATCAGCCTGCAGATTTGTACAGCCAAACCAACAGTTGAATCATATTCAACTTTTATCTTCACTTAGCGTCCGAAAGGGACAAATTGTTTTTGATTAATGTCAAGCAGAAAAAAAATTACTTTCCAGTGGAATAGTTAGCTATCCCTAAACAAATAGCTGCATACATTAAAATATGCAAAAATGCAGTGAATTCATACCATGTACGTTGCTAGCTTGGATTCCTGAGGAACGCCATTTGGCACAGAAAAAGAAAGGTACATCGGATCAATATCCATGATTGCTGTTTTCATTCCTGGAAAAAGATTTGAAAGTATGAATTAGTTTTGAATTAAACTTTGGTTATAGATACCTCCTCCTGACCTTTGTTATAAAAAAATTGATAGAAAGCATTGCCTCACCAAAATATCACCCAGCACAATGGATTTTGCTGAGCCTCTATCAACCTTGAATACAAAACCTGAAGAAGAAATGGTTATTGTTAAAAGGTGAATTCTCGGTTATGCTAGGCCTGAAACTAAAGTTGTGGTAATGATGTTGGAGATGTAAGATTTCAAGTAAGTTAAAATAAGAGACATATGGAGTTTCATGTCACAAAACCTTCATACTTCGTTACATTCTTAGCACTGAAACCTCTTCAAGTTCTAGATTGACGTAAAGTCCGGTTTGCATATCTTCCAGAATAAATTCTTGGACCCTTGATCATTGATTGGCAGGAATGATTCCATCAAGAGAGGTGGAAAATTTGCTATTAAATGCAAGGTATGCAATACAGAATAATAACTCTGAGTTACATTGCATTATTCGAGTTATCACATCGAAAGACTGAAAGATACTTGCCACATACTCTTATCTATCAACTTGTAAAATTTATCTGTAAAGCAGCTTAATTTACTATGATTAACCTCGGTTTCATGGAAAATAATCAAAAGGTAATATGGAGAACTAAAAATCTTGATATTGGCACTTTGAAGTCCTTCACTTGAAAGCGAAAATAGTAAATACCTGAATTGCGATAAGATTGTTCGAATGTCGCAGACGGTAAACGGCTCCTTCATTCTACATGTGCTGGACAAATAGAGCTACTGACAATGAACATTATTTCAGATTAAAAATTGGAACAACTTATTGACACATCAGATGTCACAGAACAGTGGCATATTTTTCAATATTGACAGGTAAGATCAATTCCAGAGCTACAATCGCTGCGAATAAACTAAATGGGAAATGTTATTAAGGATACCAGGAGCAAAATCGGAGATCATGCAAAGACCATCTCGAAATTAGAAAACTAAATCAAGGAAAACACAAGAATTATTCTTAGAAGTAACACTGGCAGAGGACTAGTAGCTGTAGCACTAAAGAGGTTAAGACCTTGAAACACAAAACAAACCTAAACTTTGACGCAATTGATGTGCGTGACGCCTCGGATATTCGAAAATACAGAAAAACTTACATCGAAACGACAGTTCAGGGAAACGATAGTTTTTTGTTCCTCCAAATGACTAAAAATTTCATTTTCAGTGACATGTTCTGTAAAATTATATTCATCCAGTTCTGATTGTAAACAACACTGAGAAGATTAAAATTAACACGAAAATTAGCGGCCAAATACTACGGTGGATATAACATAAACTAGGAAACTATGTCAATTCGAAATAACACACAAATTCAGGAAAAATACGATGATTTAAAAAAATACATGATCAAAAACACTACCGCCGATAGGCAAGTTTACTTTACTTTCTCTCTCAATTCTCTCTCTTTCCGCTCATTCTCTTCATTTCTCTTCAAATCCTCTTTTCGGCCATTCGCGTCCTCTGAGGGACCTCCCCTCCGCCCCCTCCCGATTCTCTCAAAAACAGGTTTTTTGTCTCTTTTCCCTCGTCAGTGTGTACCTACTTCAACGATAATTTCTCTAAATTAGCGGGTTCTCGTAAATTTCAAATTTTGATACCACAAAGAAATTTAAGTACAAACGCAATTTAATTTTCTTAATAAGCAATAAGATTTAACGGCGGTGACAATTTGCGGAAGGATAGATTTAGAGTTTTGATCATCTCAAAGAAAATCTGTTTCCATAGGGAAATAAGTGTTTTGCTCCGTTTGTGCATCACTGATGAGGCGCGCTCAACTTGCTACTTTAAAATTTTAATTTTCAGAAAGGGCACAAATAAAATTTTGATTTTCTTCAGAGTGTGCCTAAAAGACAAAAGAGAATTGCATCAATAGGTGTTTATCGTTTTAACTTTTTTGAGTTATCAAAAAAGTTCGAACAAATCATTTGGGGGGA